CTAGTTCGAACTTAATTCGAACTAGCGGAGTGCTTAGTTCGAACTAGGTAAACCTCATTCTACGAGGAGTAAGCCTAGTTCTAACTTACTAGTTCGAATTAAGGGGCTACACACCCCTTAATTCGAACTAGTAAGTTAGAACTAGGCTTAGTCCTCGTAGAATGAGGTTTACCTAGTTCGAACTAAGCACTCCGCTAGTTCGAATTAAGTTCGAACTAGCGGAGCGCTAGTGTAGCGCCTATCAAAGTTAATTCGAACTAACGGACGTTAGTTCGAATTAACTTTGATAGGCGCTACACTAGCGCTCCGCTAGTTCGAACTTAATTCGAACTAGCGGAGTGCTTAGTTCGAACTAGGTAAACCTCATTCTACGAGGAGTAAGCCTAGTTCTAACTTACTAGTTCGAATTAAGGGGCTACACACCCCTTAATTCGAACTAGTAAGTTAGAACTAGGCTTAGTCCTCGTAGAATGAGGTTTACCTAGTTCGAACTAAGCACTCCGCTAGTTCGAATTAAGTTCGAACTAGCGGAGCGCTAGTGTAGCGCCTATCAAAGTTAATTCGAACTAACGGACGTTAGTTCGAATTAACTTTGATAGGCGCTACACTAGCGCTCCGCTAGTTCGAACTTAATTCGAACTAGCGGAGTGCTTAGTTCGAACTAGGTAAACCTCATTCTACGAGGAGTAAGCCTAGTTCTAACTTACTAGTTCGAATTAAGGGGCTACACACCCCTTAATTCGAACTAGTAAGTTAGAACTAGGCTTAGTCCTCGTAGAATGAGGTTTACCTAGTTCGAACTAAGCACTCCGCTAGTTCGAATTAAGTTCGAACTAGCGGAGCGCTAGTGTAGCGCCTATCAAAGTTAATTCGAACTAACGGACGTTAGTTCGAATTAACTTTGATAGGCGCTACACTAGCGCTCCGCTAGTTCGAACTTAATTCGAACTAGCGGAGTGCTTAGTTCGAACTAGGTAAACCTCATTCTACGAGGAGTAAGCCTAGTTCTAACTTACTAGTTCGAATTAAGGGGCTACACACCCCTTAATTCGAACTAGTAAGTTAGAACTAGGCTTAGTCCTCGTAGAATGAGGTTTACCTAGTTCGAACTAAGCACTCCGCTAGTTCGAATTAAGTTCGAACTAGCGGAGCGCTAGTGTAGCGCCTATCAAAGTTAATTCGAACTAACGGACGTTAGTTCGAATTAACTTTGATAGGCGCTACACTAGCGCTCCGCTAGTTCGAACTTAATTCGAACTAGCGGAGTGCTTAGTTCGAACTAGGTAAACCTCATTCTACGAGGAGTAAGCCTAGTTCTAACTTACTAGTTCGAATTAAGGGGCTACACACCCCTTAATTCGAACTAGTAAGTTAGAACTAGGCTTAGTCCTCGTAGAATGAGGTTTACCTAGTTCGAACTAAGCACTCCGCTAGTTCGAATTAAGTTCGAACTAGCGGAGCGCTAGTGTAGCGCCTATCAAAGTTAATTCGAACTAACGGACGTTAGTTCGAATTAACTTTGTAGTGTAGACATACCCAGGGTGACTGGAGAATGGGGTGAAGTAGTCAGCAAATAGATTTATGTTACAGGACAGAAGGGATCATATTGTAGGGAATAGGTAGAAGAGTCTATATCCACTGCAGAACACTTCCAGGACCTAGAATGGAACCCAGGATTCCTGAGACTCAACCATTCCTTTACAGTCAGCAGGTATCTGTGAAACCCACTGGGAAAGAGCCCCATTCCCTTCTAGCACTTGTCCACACAGAGATTGACAGCTTACTACTGCTATCAGTTACTGTTAGATCAAGGGGCAGAGGCCTATGTGGCGGATCTAAACATTCCCAGCTAAGTTCCCTTAAAGCTGCACAGCCATAGTTTAAAGGGAAACATCTGTCCTGCAGCTGTGAGACACACCTCTCCCCAAGCCCTGAAGCTGCTGTGGTTTGGAAAGAGACACCCCTCGCTCAGCCCTAGCACGGAGCTGCCACAGCTCTAGGGCAGTTCTGCTGGGGCCTGCAGGGAAGTGGCCAGTACAGCAGCTCCAGCTTCTAAATGGGGGGGTCATGAGGCTCCATGTGCTATATCCAGACTAGCCAATGGGGTGGGAGGGCAAGGGGGAGAGGGAGTGTGCTAAAGTGAGAGCAGCATGCATGAGCCTCATTCCTCCCCCCAGAAGCTGGATCTGCTGGCCATGGTGCCCTAGGGCAGCTACTAGGCAGCCTCCCTTAGCACCGCTGACCTGGAACCCCCAGGAAAGGCCAAGCCCCAACCCTTCACCCCACCCAACCAGGAGACATCTTGTATATCCCAACTTCCCATCCCCAAAGCTCACAACCTCAGTCCAAAGCCTGTACCCCCTCCTGCACTCCAAACCCCAGGCCTGAGCCTCACCCCAAACCTGGAGCCCCCGTTTGCATCCCAACCCCCTCATTCCCAGTCCCACTCTAACCAGAGCCCTCCATTCCTCCTGCACTTCAGCTGCCTGTTTCAGCCCAGAGCCCCCATTGAAAGCCAAACCCACAATTAGAGCCCTTATCACCTCAACTTCATGTCAGCCCCACTTCTGCTACACATTGTCAGTGTGCAGAAAGACTTATGTGATACCTCAACTCCCTGTTGGTACACATAATAAAAGTCATTCTGCATATGGATACAAAAAATTAGAGGAAACATTGGTTCCCTGACAATTGAAGAACCATGTAGGTATCAATATGATGCCCCATGGTGGAATTTCTGGGTTTTTTTAGTATGCCTTTTGAAAACTCAGGAAATTACACACACAAAAGCTCAATTTAATTGACCATTATTAAGATTACAAAGTTAAACTTTCAAAAGTTAGGAGATGCCAAAGTTAAAGTGGCTGGTCAACTTCCTATGCCTCCACTTGTGTGTATGCAGTATAAAACAGTCTATAAGTAGTACAGTTCTTATTCTACAAGCACCTTGCACCATTCAGTGTATAGGATGAACCTGCTCTGGGATGAATGAGGGCTGTGCAGTAAAGCAGGCTGTGGTATGTTGACCCTCTGCTTCATTTGCTGCAGAAGTTGGAAGGTTTATCATACAGGAGATGGCAGGAAGAGTAGGGAGGGCAGCTGAATGCTGTCCTGGGGAATTAGATTCTATCCCTGCTTTTGCCCCTAGAATTCCTATATGATTTTAGTCAAGCAACATAAAGCAGGCTTTTCACAACTGGTCACTATGTATATTTCTCATTTTCTGGGTACCCTGATACTTTGAAGTTTGATTTACAGAAATGCTGAGTACTCACAGCTGTAGCTGAAGTAAATCGGAGCTGCCTTGAACATACAAAATACTACATATGCTAAAAATCAGCATCAATGGGTTATTCACATTTTACTTTAATCTCTCTGAGCCTTAGTATTTAATCTAGAAAATAAAGATACTAGCACCTCTTCACCAGTGTTCCCTCTAATTTCTTCCATCCATGTGTTGAATAAATTGTATTATGTGCATCAAGGCACATGCAGATGTGGACTACCAGTAGAAACACTCAGCCTACAGGGAACACTGCTCTTCACCTGATAGAAGTGTTGTGAACATAAATTACTTAATGTTTTTGAAATATGTATGCTCTGTAAAACTGAGTACCATAGAATAGCCCCTGCAGAAATTAAAAATTCAAACTTCAGGGCAGGGTTTGAATAGTTTGCAGTATATAAAGCACAGGGCTACATAATGAATAATGAGATTAAACCAAAACACTGAATAGCTGTTCATTAAATGAGCACTGTTCATACAATATAGGGGTGCTGTAGAAAAAAAATATAGCAGTAAAACTGTATAACAATACATACGCACAAATGAACTGAATTAAATTTCATAGGCAACTTCAATTCTGTCATTTCCTAGCTTCTGCTAGGGTTTGATTTGTAACCTTAAATGTATTTGTGTATGCATAATATGTATAAATGATGCTGATGATGATTTAAGTACTGCTTTTTAGATAGCAAATTTTATTTGTGATTGTGTCACCTAGAGTCTTAGTTAAAAATAAAAGGTACACATAGTAGGACTACTATACCTTGTTAACTCATCAGTAGCCATTCCTAAAATACTAAGGCATTTCTCTTTAATGAAGTTAACAAAACAAACATATCTGGTATAAGAAATATTTCAAAAAAGATATAAGTACATTTTCAAAATGCTATAATTAAAAATTACTTTAATGATTTTAACAAATGCTCTATCATTGGCCCTTGTCTAAATTAGGGAGTTATTTCAAAATAACTCCCTTTATGTCAAATTAATATGCAGCACGTCCACATTACCAAGCCCATTATTTCGTAATAATGGGCTGGTTATTTTGAAATATGTACTCCCATTTTCCTTCGGGAATAACGCTAGTTTCAAAATAGTTATTTAGAAATAGCATTAGTGTGGATGTTCTGCTGATGCTAATTCAAAATAATTGGCCTCCAGAGGCCTCTCTCAGCTGCAGTTTTGACCACTCTGGCCTCACCTTGCATCTCCACTGCTCGCCTTCTCATGTGGAGCTTAAAACTCCAGTCAGCAAAAGAAGGGCTTCTTGCATGTTGGAGAGCAGTGAGAGCTACTGTGAGAGACAGCAGCCAGCAAGGGAGTCATGATGGACCCAAACTCTCCCTCACACTGCCAGCACTCCCTTGGTTGGCACGTGCAAGGGACACAGGAGAGCTCCGTACTGGACTGCTGAGGAGATCCTGAACCTCATCGAGGTTTGGGGAGAAGAAACCAACTTCCAGAACCTCTGTACCAGGAAGAAAAATGCAGAGGTCTACGGCTGGATTGCTGGCAGCCTGGCAGACAAAGGCCAGAAATGGACCCTGGAGCAGGTCTGGCTGAAGATTAAGAATCTCCAACAGGCCTAATACAAGGGCAGGAAATAGAGTAGATGCTCCAAAGCAGCACCACGCAACTGCTGCTCGTTTGACCAGCTGGATGCCATCCTCAGGAGGGGTGGAAGGGAGTCATGAAGTTTGACCAAGAGGGCAGGATGGGCAGCCTCCAAGAGGATGGGAGGGCAGATGAGTCCAATGAAGAAGAGGAGGAGAAAGAGGACAAGGCGGAGGCCAGCCAGGCAACCGTGCCTGCCAGCGAGGACCTGTTTCTCCCCGCCCCCCAGGATGTCTCCCAGGCTTCGGATGAACCTAAGAATGGCACTTCAGGTGAGTTCCATCATTTTCCATATGTACACACGGGGGCAGGTGCCAGGCCAGAGCACTCAGCCTCATGACACTCTGTAACAGGTTCAGTCCTGTCAGCGAGCGCCCCTTAGCAGCTACAAGGGGGCTCATAATAATGACCTCACCCACTCAGGATGAGATACAGTCCAACTGGCAGTCGAGGTCCAGGGTTCCCCCCTTGTCTGGAGTTCTTCCATGCCGCCACAGGCTAGCCTCCTGTTGCAGGATCTAGCCTTGGTTCCTTGAAAATGTCCAGCTCCCACTCAGAGCTGGCCCAGGTGCTGATGCTCACAGCCAGTTCAGAGTTCTGGCCAGGTTGAGCTCCAGGAAGGAACTAATTGACCTTCACTCAGCAGCTCCTTATACCAGGATGCCAAACCCTGATTGGCTGCAGGGCCAGCTGCCCTTCTGCCCCGATTTGAGGCCCTCTCCATTGTCCCTGCTGCTGGCCAAGGTGCTGAATGGCCTCCAATGGAAGATGGGTTCTGTCTGCCCCATCACATACTCTCACACAGGAACCCCTTGGTCCTTCTCAGAAAGTTTCTGGAGAGGCCTGCCTTATTTCAGCCTCCATGGTGAAACTCCTTCCCATGACAAGCCACCACTAAGGAGTCTGGGGCCATGGAACCACAAAGCTGTGTCGCACACAGCACAGGGTCATGCTTACACTTAGGCAGCATTTGCTCCTAGTCAAGAATGACGATGCGGAGGAGACTGATATTGTGCATGGGAGGAGGAGGAGGAGAACCCAGTAGTATTCTCTCCAGCAAGCGACATCTGCCGCTCACACACACCTTCCCCAACATATCCTCCCCCCTCCTCCAGCAGGCAGGGATAGAAGTTCTCTCTCTTAGAGATGCCGCCAGGACGCAGTGTGTGTGGGACACAGAAAGAAGCTGCCCTGTCCCTCTCTTGCCCACAGACTCCTAGCCTGGCCAGCACCTTCCCATGCCTGCTTGTCCTGGGCCTGTGGATGCAGTGATGCTCCCTACGTCTGTGGCCCTGCTGGAAAGTGCCTATTGTCTTGGTCTCGTTCAAAGCACATCACCATCGTCTGAACCGATACTTTTAGTGTCAGCTCAGAGATCAGGCCTAGGCTTTATACACAGTGTCTTCTGGGATGACTGCCCTTGTAACTTTTCTTCACAGGTGGGATAGGTGCGAGCTTGGCACGTCCCTCACTTTCCATGCCATCTATCTGAATATTTGGGATCCACAGGCAGAAAAGAACACACAAGGACAATGCAGCATGAGGCCATGTGCTCCTCTCTTACCTCAGTGAAGGAATGCATGATGTCATGAATGAAGCGGGCCATCAGCCACTTCACCATTCCCCCATGGCTTCCCCTCCTACTCCTGCCCAGGGGCCACCAGGGCCCCAGAACACTAGGTGGTTGGATCTCTTGGGCAGCCGGAGCCTCCCAACCACCCAGAGACAGGTGCCAGTCCCGATGGAGCAGTAGTTGTCCAGCGTGGCAAGCTTCCAGAGGACGATGGCCAAGCACTTCTGCACAGGGACGGTGGATCACATGCGGGTGTCATGTCACTGAGGGCAGGGGCATGCCACTCACGGAGCTCAAGGAAGGTGGCCTTCCACATGTGGAAGTTCTGCAGCCACTGCTTGTCATCCCATAGCTGCTGGACGACGCAGTCTCCCGCTTCCAGAAGCAGAGTTCCACGGTGTCCAGGGGATTGAGGGCCATGCACATCAGCAGGAGTGCTAGGACCTGAGTGATCTGGGCCTGCGGTCCAGGCA